AAACATTAAATCACTCACCTTGTCACAGACCTGCTGGTCTCCGTCTCTCTGAAGCTGCTGCATGCTGGGTCCTCACGCCCGAGGCCCCCAGGGCAGCCCCGTTATTGCCTGTCAGGGCAGCCCATTATTGTCGGTAAATTTATAATCCGCCCGCTCGTCACTGTGTCCCCGTCTGTGTCCCGTGGCTACCGCTATCAGTCTGCCCACTGCGCGTGGGGGGCCCTGCCGATCCCAGCAGGCAGCACGCGGGGCGAACAAAATGGCAAAGTGTAATGGGGGAGCAGGGGGACACGGGCCCCCTACTGGCCATGGGCCTTCGGGCCATGCCCGACTGCCCGAATGGTCAGTCCGCCCCTGTCCAGGCACCATTACAGGGCACGTAAGGGAGCTGTAAGCAATGCATGTATGGATGGAGCTCCCTCGTGGCCATTGCCCTAGCCCACCCCACCTCAAGCTGACACTCACTGCGGGCAGCATATTTTAAATGGCTGCTTGGCGCGAGAACTGACAGTGTTGCACTTGGGGGAGGCTGAGGAGCCTCTCACCTAGAAAAGTAGAAGGCACGTGGCGACCCACTGTAACGTGGTCGCAACCCACTTTTGGGTCACAACCCACCAGTTGAGAACCAAGGTTCTAGACGCTTGCCGCATGAATGTATCCGGACAATAAATCAAATTTCTCTATAAGCTGATATTTTGATAATCTGACCTACTGTCTGTGTTATCACTGCTGCTATTTTTCTAGTGATAAGTATCACTTTGTGTACCACAGAAAGTATTCATCCTATTCATATAGTCAGATCAGAAACAAGGTTCCCACTATTCCCTACTGAGTCAATATTTGTGGATGAACCCTGACAAATAAACCTGGCTCCTCCGTATTTCCTGGCGCTCAGCTTTCTCTGAAATTATTACAGTACATAACTGATTTAATATGACTCCACCTTTCAGCAAGTGGAAATATTACACCACACGGAATAACAGGTTCTCCTAAGGTAGATTTCCACCTTTTCTGCCTCTCAAAATAATTCCCCATTTTCAGCTGGTCTCCATTTTTTTCCTACATAAAGCACAGGCAGGTTTCCCATGAATCCTTACATGCTGTGCTATGTACATCGCGTGATCGCGCTAATCCTCCCTTTCTTAAAGTGCAACACCAGCCCAATTTTATTTTTAGTTTGTCAACTTTTTATTTTTATCTGCGCATCTGTGGGAGAGATTATTCCTCACATCCTGCGTACGTAGTCAACAACATTTCAAAAGAATTTCCAGGGACATCTTTTTTTCCAAGCGGTTCTGTGATTTTGACATTTTCTTAAACTTTGAAGACAATGCAGTGTAATACTGTGAAAAGAGAAGCTCACAAACTATACAATTAGAGTAACATTACAGTAAAAAAATGTATTTATCTATTTCAAATGCTAATGGAATCACTTACAATGGTTGCTGTTTTTTATATGATGCTTAAAAGTTAAATCTTCCTGCAGAATCAGTTGATCTCCTGAGCACTGGCCCTGATATCCTGTATTGGGGTGGATCATTTTCGTTTGCAGGGTCCTATGGAGCCATACAAAACACAGAAAATCCCCAGCTCACCTGCCTGCTAGCCTGCAACCAAACAAATTGCCCTGTCAACAGTATGCGTTAAAATCAGAGGTTTTAGTTGCACAAACTTTTGGCCAAAAATATGTAGAAGCCACACCGCCGCGCAAAGGCACCTCTGCAAAGTGTGGTCCTAACTCTATGTATATGAGTCTCCAAGTGTGAGCATATTAATGCAGTCGATAAATTGCATGCAGGTGTACCAGGAGGTAGCCTATGGAGCCACCCTTGTGTTTTCTAGTAAGCTGTGTGTCTCTCAACAAGCACACAGGCATACAAGTCAATCCATTCCTCTGCTCCCTGGTTTTCCTTCGTCCTTCTCTTTTTTTTTTAATTGTTTTTATTTGGTTTTCACAGAGTTAAGGTACAACAGTACAACGTACATCGCCTGAGTTTTCCTTCGTCCTTCTCTAAGCTAGTAGATGAACAGCTGCTGGAGTCTGCTCTGTCCCTTGTGATCTTGTACTGGACAGGAAGTTCAGGGAAGCTGATCTGAGAGAATTGGAGCTGTTTGGAATCATGACTGTAAGTGCTTGGGCAAAGATATGAAGAAACACTTTACTAAGCGATGTATATTTGTTTCATCTGGATTCATAAAAAAAAGTTTAAGAGGTTAAATCTACTTGAAACAGTTTTTTCCTTTGGCTGATCTGTACAAAGTTGAAAAAGTTAGAAAAAAGTCCAGGAAATAAGCGCTCTCCGAAGTGTTGGAAGGGGTTAAATTGGAGGGCACAAGGTGTGCTGCTTCTCAAAAAAGTGCCCACCGGGTCGTCTGACGTTTGTGTTAAGACAACAAGAAGGTGAGGGGGTAGAGAAGCGCTAGCAACCTGGTGTGAATACGTAGCAAAGTGATTAGGGATTGGAAATAAAACAGTATTAAGCTAAACTGCATCAGTGCAAATTAGCCACATCATTTATATGTAAATTGGATTTCTACTTAAAATGCTTTTTTGTGCAGCAGAACTCAGATGCTTTTGGGAAAGGACATGTGTGAACCGGCTTTTAAATTGCTTTTAAGAAAAAAATCTCACCACTGAAAAACACATATAGGGAAATTTATCAAAACTGGAGCATACAAAAACTGGAGCAGATGTGCATGGCAACCAATCAGCTTCTCTCTTTCATTTCCAAATCTTAACTGAACAGACTGAAGAGAGAAGCTGATTGGTTTCCATGGACAACTGTTCCAGATTTTGTCTGCTCCAGTTTTGATAAATCCCCCCCCCCCAATGTGACCATATGAGAGCATGCACATTTAACCTACCAAGGCTGAGTCAAAATGGAAATCCGTCTTGGATCGAGTAGACCTTTCACACTCACTCGCTGTGTTAGATCTATAGCCATTGTAAAGACCATCATTAAAAAGGGGGTATATACTAAAAGGTTTGGAATGAAAGCAAAGTGTTTAATATATAAATAATCTACTATAGAGCTTATATTAAAAAGGAATACTACAAAAAATTTGATTATCTGGGCTGATTTTTGAAAACTTCATCAAGTGATAAAAAGAGGTGTTGTCCACAGACACTGACCAGCTTTTTGCTTGCATTCCATAATCTGTATTGTAAGAATGAGATAGAATTGGCTAATATTTTACTAACCTCTACAACATAGTGCAATGGTCATTATGTGGCCTGGCATTTCCATCACTGTGCCCCCTCTACCCAAGTCCTGGCCATATGAAATATGCATTTGACAATAAGCCAGTTTTAGGGAGAACCAGCCTGATGCAGCTTTGAGGCAGGTGATGTCACATGTCCAAATCAACAGCCTCAGAAGAATAGCCGCCTAGACTGAAGTTGTCCTCATATGCATAGACATAGCTGGAAATTAGCACCAGAATATACAATGCAACTATATTCTCCTAAAGTGGTTCTAAACTCTAACTAGGCACGATTTCATTTGCTAGGGCAGCCTTACCTCAACTAAGGTGCTTTCTGGCTTTGTTAGAGATGCCTTAAACCTTTTGCACAGCATCATACATTTCCATGCTTCAGGCGAGCAAGCCATCATCACCATAGAAACGCATGATGCTAATCCAGGGTGGGCTGCATCCAGACCAGCTCCCAGCACTCATAAGAGGACAGAAGTCTGCCTCCCTCCAGGGCTGTTTTGCCTCCCACCCTTTGCTATGCTGCCACAACCACCCTGTGTTTTTTTGCATCACAATCCCTCCTAATATTCATACTAGAGCCATAGCAAGGATAAGGGTCTGGCCCAGATTTTGGGGGGAACCTCAAATATTTCGTTATACATTTTAGACTCATTAAATTAACATTTTTTTTCATTAAATAGCATTTTCAACTTTTTAAATCCTGCTGATCTTCTGCAGCCTTTTCCAGCTACCTTCTGTCTCTATACATTGGGCCCAACGTGGGTCTTACATACTGTATTTGCTCAAGGCAGACTTTCTGATCATGACAACATTGCAAAATACCTGCACAATGTGTGTTAGGGTGGCCACTTGTAATCTCCATCATGGTCACATATGACTGGGTGACATTGCAGGAGCAAAACTGGGAGAGAGTTTTTAAGCCGGGCATACACCTATAGATTATATCTGCAGATTTTCTATGGTCAGATGGAAAAAGTACAACAGATTCCTTCATCTACGCTAAACTGTGTTGATGGAGGAATCTCCAGCTGGCTGTCAAATTACCTGAACAATCTGATTGGATGCAGGCATTGCTCAGGTATTTCGAGAGCCAGCGGGGCAAGATACTGAAGCTTGGGCCAGTGGGAGATTCCTCCATCCACACAGTTTAGCGTAAATGGAGGAATCTGTTGCACGTTTTCCATCTGATCATAGAAAATCTGTTGATAATCTATAGGTGTATGGCCGGCTTAACCCTATAACAGGAAGTGGCTGAAGAAAGGACCTTCATGGCAGGATTACCAGGTAGTATTTTAATGATAGTTGTAGATTTAAAAAGAATGAAAACAACGTTTGAAATGATATTAAACTAAATGATATTAACTTAAAGTATGCATGAGGATTTAGTGACCGAGTTTAGTTCTGCTTTATTATTAGTGAAATATGGAACATGGAATTCAAATGGTTGCTTCTGGCAATGTCTGAACTTTTCTTTGCTAAAGCTCATAATGAATCCCACTAACCAACTCAAAATGATCTTCTTCTGTTTTTAAATATAGTTTCAATATGATGTTCCTAGAAGTCATCTTAGTTATCACCGTTTCTTTTGGAGCCAGAGCACAAGAGGGGCAGGCATGCCAATCTGAAATAACAGCTATGTCGCAGAAGATCACTGAAATGTATGATGCCTTCTTTAATGGAGTTCCTGCTCAAAACAATGAAAACAAAACTCTCTATGCCAGTTGTAAGCTACACCCAAACACAAAATTGAATGCTGATGAAATCAAAATCACAGGATATGTCTTGTTTAAACAGGTTTATCCATATGGACGGTTGGAAGCAGTGTTCTCCATAGAAGGTTTTCCTCAGGATGTCAATCAGTCTTCAAGAGCAATTCACATCCACGACTTTGGTGATCTCAGTAATGGCTGCGATTCTGCAGGAGGACATTATAATCCATATTTCGTAGACCATCCAAACCATCCAGGGGATTTCGGCAATTACTGTGTCCGTAATGGCAAGATTCAGCAGCACCTCATGAATCTTGAGGCGAACATCTATGGTCGAGTCTCTGTAATTGGAAGATCAATAGTTGTACACAAGATGGCTGACGATCTTGGCAAAGGCAATAACCGGGCTAGTTTGGAAAATGGAAATGCGGGTACACGTCTTGCTTGTTGTGTGATTGGGGCCACCAATAAAAATAGCTGGGAAAAATACATGGAAGAGAATGCAAACTCAAATAGCCAGAGAGTTGCAAGGTGCGTCAATAGGCAACAAAAGAAGCCAAAATAATGTCACTGGCAAGGTGAAGTCAATCTCAGATTTAATATTCATTTAAGCGGTTAGTATTGCTCTTCATTTAGGTGTATTTTAGATCTGTGCTTGACACAAAATATGTAAAAGCGTTAGTGTGTCACTCAACTTTCTGTCAAACAGATTGATGGTGTATACAAGCATTTTCTTTGTAAGTCTAAAATGTAAAGTAAAGCTGAAACATCACCTTGGCTGGCTTTGTAGTAAATGTTGTGCTTTGGTCAAATGTAATTTCTAGAACATATAGGATATAGAGATGAATTATCTACTAACTCTCCCCCCTAGGAAGCTAATATCCACATTTTTCTGATTTTCCAGGGCAGGTTTATTTACACTGCAACTGTGGGTAATACTATCCATTTGTATATAATACTACATGACTTCAGTCAGGCTGAAAAAAGATATGTCCAATAAATTCAACAAGAAAAAAAATAATTGCTAATCTCCAAAGATACTCATGGTTTCAACAATCAAATATGTTCATTCTTAAAAATACTAGCAGCTGGTTATATTTGCTGTATCCAGCCCTTTTGTTTTAAACCAAACTACAGAGCTGACTACAACTAGCTCTCACATAAGACTTTTCAATGTTTTAAGAGTGCTTATTGTAAAGAAACCTTTCCATGTGGGGAGGTTAGAGGAACTAATGTATATCTTTCTACAATTGTTCTTTGATAAATTCCCCCAACTGCCCTACGTGCCTCTAATTAGGACAAATACCTCCAGCCCCAATCCAGCGTTCTTCAATGCATGTCCATCGCTCCAAGGCTCACAGCGTTTGTGCCGAAAAATGCTCACGTTCCATTTAAGCTATGTTGTCCTAGACCAGGGGTAGGCAACCTTGGCTCTCCAGCTGTGCTGAAACTACAAATCCCATCATGCTTCTGCCTCTGGGAGTCATGCCTGTGGCGTGCAATGCCTTATGGGATTTGTAGTTTCAGCACAGCTGGAGAGCCAAGTAACCAACACATCGTATACTTGAATAAAAGATAATCACTATACATTGTTCATAGAAAACACACATGTGATGAATATATATATACCGTGTTTCCCCAAAAGGTAAGACCTACCCCGAAAATAAGACCTAGCGCTATCTTCAGGGATTTCTGTAATATAAGACCTACCACGAAAATAAGACCTAGTTTAATATATATATATATATCTTGCTTACAAACTAAGATACAGCACAGTCATGTATCATCGTGAAACAAGGGGAGCCAAACCAGAAGACGTCTATGCCGGGGGCCACTGAGGGGAAGTAACTAGCCAGGACGCCCAACTACTATCTCTCAATACTTGATAACCATAGAAGCATGAAAAGTTTTCACACTTCCCAGACACTTTTAAGGCTCCTATGGTTATCAAGTATTGAGAGATAGTAGTTGGGCGTCCTGGCTAGTTACTTCCCCTCAGTGGCCCCCGGCATAGACGTCTTCTGGTTTGGCTCCCCTTGTTTCACGATGATACATGACTGTGCTGTATATAAGTTTGTAAGCAAGTTATCTGCTGCTACCAACTCTGTAAACTTGTTGTTTCAATATATATATTATGCTGTCTTGGCCTTAATTAGTGTCCTCCATCAATTGTAGTTTACATGGTATTTTAATCCCATTTTATCATGTTGTGTATAGTTATATGTATTTTTATGCTAAAACAATAAATATTTCGTTTTGATACTGATCTATGCACCTAAAAAGTCCCAATTTGTCACGGTTTCTATGCGAATTTGTCTCTATGAACAGAGGTGTAGTGTTAGGTATGTAGTGGGTTAATTTCTGCAATACAGTGTGTAATAGACATCCTACCTTGGATGTGCATCTTCTAGGATACTTTCCAGCTGCTCCTTAGGGTGTCCCTCTTGTCCTCCAGCTCCAATTCCAGCACTGCTGTCTATCAGGGAACACAGACATCTGTCTGCATGGACGCTCAGAAAGACAGGAACACAGGTGGCTAGTCGACTCCTCACTTGTGCACACCAGGGGGTCCTACAGGCGCATCATCTGACCTTAGCTGCCTGTCTCAGTGCCTGCAACACAGACTGCCAGGACCCTCATCTGCTGCTCCTGGCATTGAAAAGGACACCCCTCCCCAGCGGCCGATTCACCTCTCTCAGGCTGTAACTTCCCTGCTCAATACAGCAGAGCAGATCTACACGGAGGAGGTGACTGAACAGGCTGCTGATCCATAGCGTCAGGCAGGCTAGTGCCTGACACTCTGCATCGGACACAGCGGGCCGGCCAAGCCGAACAGTCAAGCTGATTGTGTCCAGCCCTGATCGCAGCCGCCGCGCTAAGGTGCCCTGTAATGTATTAGGCAAATTAGGCGGTCGCAAGGCCCTCGTGAGTGCGAGGCCTAAGGCGACCGCCTAATTTGAGAGCCGCCTCTGGTCCACTCTGGTGTGTCTATGTGAATGTTTGACCATTCTTCCAGAAGCGCATTTGTGAGGTCAGGTACTGATGTTGGAGGAAAAGGCCGGGCTCACAGCCTCCACTCTAATTCATCCCAAAGGTGTTCTATCGGGTTGAGGTGAGGACTCTGTGCAGGCCAGTCAAGTTCCTCCACCCCCAAACTGGTGTGCAGTCATGTTGGAACAGGAAGGGGCCATCCCCAAACTGTTCCCACAAAGTTGGGAGCATGAAATTGTCCAAAATGTCTTGGTATGCTGATGCCTTAAGAGTTCCCTTCACTGGAACTAAGGGGCCAAGCCCAACCCCTGACAAATACAACCCCACTCCATAATCCCCCTCCACCAAACCTTACACTGGGCACAATGCAGTCAGGCAAGTATCGTTCTCCTGGCAACTGCCAAACCCAGACACGTCCATCGGATTGCCAGACAGAGAAGAGGGATTTGTCACTCCCGAGAACACGTCTCCACTTCTCTAGAGTCCACTGGCGGTGTGCTTTACACCACTGCATCCGATGCATTGCATTGCACTTGGTGATGTAAGGCTTGGATGCAGCTGCTCAGCCATGAAAACCTATTACGTGAAGCTCTCTACACACTGTTGTTGTGGCAATCTGAAGGCCACACGAAGTTTGGAGGTCTGTAGCTATTGACTCTGCAGGCAGTTGGCGACTTCTGCATACTGTGCACTTCAGCATGCGCTGACCCCGCTCTTTATTTTCGTGGCCTACCACTTCCTGGCTGAGTTGCTGTTGTTCCCAGTTGCTTTCACTTTGTTATAATACCACTAACAGATGACCGCGGAATATTTAGTAGCAAGGAAATTTCACTGAACACCTGAATCCAATGATTTGGAAGGGTGTCCCAATATTTTTGGTAATATAGCGTAGCTTAGAAGGGGGTCTCGGCAATTATTATTTGTGTTATTTTACCCCTCAGAGATAGGCTTTCACAGCTACCAGGAAGATTGAAAGTGATCGGTAATATATGAAAAAGCACACATAAGCTTTAGGAAGAACACCTTCCACCCACATGAGCAGCTCTGTCTCAAGTGGATTACATTGAATTTAGTGTGATACTAATCTCAGGAGTTAAGTCTTCAAAATGCATTCAATTGCCCTAACTATTAACAAAAACATATCTTATTTGTGTATCACTCAGCTGTAGACCCTCAAATCATCTCTGAATTGGTGCTGACACTGTCCTTCCTTCTGGAGGGTGACTACTTTTGTTCCCCATGGTCCCTGTGTGTGTTGTAAAGTAGCCGCAGCTCCAACCTCACTCCCGTAGACAGTGTCAGCACAAATCCAGACATGATTTGAGGATCTACAGCTGAGTGATACACAAATAAGATACATTTTTGTTAAAAGTTAGGGTACTTGAATGTATTTCTAAGGTTTGACACCTGAGTTTAGTGTCACTTCAAAGAAAACATGTACTGAGAGATATGCTCAGACTAAAATTGTGAACCTCATCTTGATAATGCCATCTGCCTGACCGTATCTTTAGTACTGGGAAACATTGACCTGAAACAAACCGTCATGCCAGGAAGTTAAAACTTGTAACCTGCATACAGTACTTCTGGGTTCTGGGTCAGTGACCTACAAAGTACAGAATCCACTGGATCAGAATGACAGCCAGGTAACTAGTACTTTCAAGAGAGATTAGAAATGTTGTCGGGAATCCACCCTGCTACCTAATTGACAGCTGGCTCTGCCCCCTCCCCTATCTGTCCCTCCCCAGTCAGCGCTGGAGGAACAGAGGGTAGGAGGGAATCCCTGCGGGGATCAGTGGCTAAGAGTCACCGCTCTCTGCAGGAAGAAGATCATGAACTGAACAATCAGCGGTTTGTGATCGCTCAGTTCTCAATCTATAGAGCCAACATGTGACAGCTGCAGTGTTACACGTCAGCTCTAACTATTGGGATGAGTGTATTTCACTCTCCCTATAATTCTCTTTTAAACTTCAGGAATTGGTTAAGGCTGGAAGCATACATTTAATGCTAGCTAATGATTGTTCTTCATTAATTGCTAGCAATTGCTACACATGCAATTGTGAATGTGGAAAATGTTGCTATCATTAGCTATTAATCACTACTTAAAACATTGGAGAGGGGCAGCAAGACCAAGTGGCCCATTCAATCTGCCCTTTTTTGTTTTGTGGGTGTTTGCCTCATTAAGTTTTTTTAATTACACTTTTATCAGATAGACCTATGTTTATCTCTAGCATGTTTACATTTAGGGGGTTATTCACTAGAGGGAGAAGAGTTTGGAGAATTGAACACTCTAGGGCAACATAACTGATTTGGAAACATTCTCCAGTTCAGTCTGCAGTATGTTGTCCTAGATTGTTCACTTCTCCTGCCTTCTCCAAACTCTTCACCCTTTAGTGAATAACCCTGTTTGTTACTGTTGATTTACTCACTAATTCTGATGGAAGTCTGTTCCAAACATCAACTACTCTTTTAGAATACTGTATAGCATTGGGGTTTCTTTCTGCTTGTTTCAGTTTTTGAGCTCAGCTTCATATTGAAGATCCTGTCCTCCTAACCATATTCCCACCGCAATTGTATTTAAAATTTTTCAAACATGTCCTTCCACCCCTTTCCTGGGAACTGTATGAACTAAATTGCTCCATTCTGTCCCCATAGGCATTAGCCTTTAGACCTTGGATTATTTTGGCTGCCCTACTCAGGACTTGCTCTATCTTTTTAATATCTTTGTAGTGATGGTCTCCAGAAAAAGAAAAAAAAATGTATATCACTTGAATAATTCCAATTACTTAGATGGGAAGGGAAGGTCTCATGGATGATGACCTTTCTAGTAAAAATCAATCTCACAAGCACTTATTCCAACAGTTGTGTAACTCACACAGAGCCAAATCTCATGCAGTTTTTCACTGTACATCTAATTTTCGGAAGGTTTAATTCCTACATGCATAATCTATAAATAGTTAAGCCTCTAACACAATACCAAACAAAAATGCCAAAGATGTTGTCAATAAGGCCTGACATGGACAACAGAGTGCAGTCAGATTTGGAGATCATTGCTAGGTTAAGTCCTGGCTAGCTGGGCTACAACCTGCACAACAGGATTGGAAGAGCATACAGAGGAGAAAAGCAGGCATCTCCAGTGCTGGTCAATTGTAGGGTAAAATACATCCATCGGCCAGGAGGTCTGGTACTTCTCACTGACATGAGATAACTACCCATTCTGCACATTAAGTCCATGGGTACCAGCTGTAATATATGTGCCAAATGTAGTAAGCTGTAGCAATCACATTTTAGGCATTGCAGGCATATTGATAAATGTACACTGGGTGACTAGAGCTGCTCATTGATCATAGAATAACCATGTATTTATACAGACCTACTTTCCCAACACCATTCAATTGATCCTTTTCTTCCAATCCAACACCCTGGTTTTCTCTTGATGCCAGGAGACCAAATGCAAGTTAGCTAAAGAGAAAGATTTCTTGCCCTTGCACAGAGTAAAGATCACATTTAAACTAGGATGTGAACTGCACCATATAGTGCAGGTAAAAGCAACCTTGGAACTCTGGCTGTGGTGAAACTATAAAGTGTGTGAGGCTCATAGTGTAAAGATGTCTGGCTCTCTTTAAAGGCCTGTCCACACCATCCAGTGCGTTCATCGCACAGTCTCGTGGGATAAACGCACAGGACTGCATAAACAAAGGCTCCCTGCAGTGCTATCGTCCGCACCTGAACGCATGGTATAGCAAGGACCCACGTTCCAGTGTGGTGCAATCACAAAAAAAGTGCATGCAATGGACTGTACGATGAACGCACTGGATGGTGCGAATGGACCCTCAAAATGCACAAACAAAAACTTACACTTATTATAAATGCGAGGAGGATGATTACAGACAAATGGAAAATTGAAGATAACTGGTCAGTCTACCCAAAATTGATTACAAAATTACAAGTAAATGCTAATTGGGTAAAACTCATTGATTTCTGAAATCTGTTGAGGATTCCATTGGTGCGACAGGCCTTGCCATAATCCCAGGCTCCATCACCTTTATGAAGCACTCACACTTGACTTTGCCACCAATTATCTATAATGTGTGATGGATAAACACACCATCAGAATGAAAACAGCCCTCTTGTAAGGAAGGGCTACAATGTAAACCTGCAGATCCAGGAGAGATCTCACCAACAGAGACCTTGAGAGGTATAAGAAATCAGTGGGTAAACCATCTAGCCAGAATCTACCCGATAATTAAATAGCAGTTTGGGTGGACTGGTCTTTGAGGTCTGTCTTTAATGACAGTTTAAATGTGACTGAGAACATAAAAACGTAATTAGTTGCTTATAATTATTGATAATATTGTCTATTTCCATGATTAAACAATGAATGAGCATTTTACATTAAAAAATGAACAAACATTTACATAAGACACAGTCTACAAAGCACAAGCAGCCCTCACAAACCCTATTAAACATTAAAGGACAAAAGAATGGTGTCCATGAAATGCTCAGACTGAAATGACCACAAGATCTAAAACACAAGTTGCATTACACACATAAATTCACTACAGGTCCTCCAAAAGCTGATATTTTGTAAACCAACAGGATGTCTTTCTTACCAGTTTATATTTCTTTACTGTATAGCCTACACAACAGAAAGACCTGAGTGGACCTCACTCTCTAGTTTTCCTTTATTTTATACTATAGAGGGTACAACAGGGGACGTAAAGAGCCCCCATTGGGGTTGGGGGGGCGTAGGGAGTGATGAAAATCCCTAAGAACTATAGGAGGTCAGTGGATGGTTTAGCCCAACAACATTCATCCTTTAGAGACAATTAGTGAATCTATTAATTCGTTCTTGCAACCCTAAGTCCATTATCCTGCCAATCCACTGGGTTCCCATTTTTGCAGCAACCTTTGCCTGTTCAATTACCCAGAAGAAGCTGGCTGCAAGGACAAAACTGAAGTCACTGATGGAAATATCCAGTTTAAGCCTACAGTCACTAAATGATATGGAAGCTGCTTTGAAAAACAGGCAGATCAACAGAGAAAGGTGGCCTTATTGAACCAAACAGAGAAGGAAATGGGGAACAGAAGTTTTTATTTATGGCGAGTAGTTTTTTGTTAAATTACAAATAGTATTTGGTATTTTTGCCACTTTTCTTTTTTATTAAAGTGGATTGACGTTTCTAACAATAAGATCTACTTTAATTTCAGATATTTCCCACTGTGTATACTTTTTTCTAAATTGGTCACTACCTATTGTCTGAAATTATCAGCCATTTCTGTCTGAGTAGGTGCTGTGATGACAAATAGCTCCTGCTCAATGTGTTTATAGCAATATAGAGCCAGTATCTTCTTAACTGGTAATCTCCCCAAATGTTTACATGCATGTCTGGTAACGGGGGTAACTTGTGTTTTAGGTTTAGTAGTCTTAACGATGGACTATAAAAATGAGTTCAACTTTAGAAAGAATTTTCAAATAAATAAAACCAACATTGTTTAAACAAAGCAAGACACATCTTTGGAAACGGAGGGCATTTGGTCATGATCCATTCTCGTCTACTCCTTTTCCAACACTTTCATCACTACCAACAGGTTTTAATGACTCCTCTGTCACAGAGGACTCCAACAGTCGCTCTTTTGTGTCCACACAGTTTTGGAGACCGGCACTGTCTAAGCTTCCATCAACAGAGTCTTGTGATTCATCTAAGCTTTCAGCAGATAAAACATCTGCTTCCAATTGGTCAGTGGGTACTGGGCTGGACAATGGAGGCTCAAAGCTTTCAAGAGGGGGTGCCACATCTGCAACACTGTGTCCTCCAACTGAACTTATAAGGTGGTTATCTTCCAGCTCAACTGCTGCCAGTTCTTCAGTTAGTTCAATTATCTCCTTCCCTCTCTTCTCCAGTTCTTCCTTCTCGGAGCACAATAGAGGGATTAAAGGATGAAGATACATGTTTTCATAAGAATTACCAAGCGGATCTTGGGAATTTTCCAGTGGTTGTGTGGTCTCATTGTTGGCTTGTGTGCTCAAATCACTACAGCGTTTGTGAATACTTTGTTGCCTGTGTGCTATAGAAACAAGATAATATAAATTCTAAGGGTGGCACCTAAGCAAGGAACTTGAGACAATAAAACAAGATGAATACATTAAATTTAATTATTTTATATATACACTATTTACCTATGACACACTCCAGTAATTTCTATTTATTGGTTCCAATCCCAATTTCCAGTATGAATTATATTAACTATGTAGCATCATCAATTGACTGCCTACTCTTCCTTCTCGCACAAAGCATATCTGTAATATTTTGGATGTGCAATATTTTGTAGGGCTAAGCTGTAGATTAAGCAGTTACAGTGAAGGATAGACATGCAAGGTAGTTGAAAGGTTTATCAAAGATAGGCATCATGTTAGAATTTTTTGTAATTTTAAACAGCAATAGGGAGATAAATATGTATTTGGGTCTCGCAATGCCTGCTCTACAGTAATCCTGTGATCTAATTAAGGTTTATTTTTTACCACATCAACACTAAGAAGTTAGGCTGTGGGTCAATTAGGTGGGATGTTCAACCGATATTTAGCATCTTAACTAAAATTATTTCACAATCCAACCTTTTTATCTCTCCAAGGTAAATCTACATAAATGAAGGGAGTGATACATAATGGTAGAGACAAAAATATGATCCCTTCAATATATTGCAAAATAACAGGCGCACTCCAAGGTGACAAGCATAATAAATAGCTCAGTACTCAAATTCAGGTTTCAGCCTTACCTTCATAAGTTAGAGGTTTATGGCAAGGCACGTCCGTAAACGTGATCATTGGTGACTTTGGACGCTGTGGGTTCGTTATTGGTGGATTGGGAGCATGAAATTGTCCAAAATGTCTTGGTATGCTGATGCCTTAAGAGTTCCCTTCACTGGAACTAAGGGGCCAAGCCCAACCCCTGACAAATACAACGGTGTGCAGTCATGTTGGAACAGGAAGGGGCCATCCCCAAACTGTTCCCACAAAGTTGGGAGCATGAAATTGTCCAAAATGTCTTGGTATGCTGATGCCTTAAGAGTTCCCTTCACTGGAACTAAGGGGCCAAGCCCAACCCCTGACAAATACAACCCCACTCCATAATCCCCCTCCACCAAACCTTACACTGGGCACAATGCAGTCAGGCAAGTATCGTTCTCCTGGCAACTGCCAAACCCAGACACGTCCATCGGATTGCCAGACAGAGAAGAGGGATTTGTCACTCCCGAGAACACGTCTCCACTTCTCTAGAGTCCACTGGCGGTGTGCTTTACACCACTGCATCCGATGCATTGCATTGCACTTGGTGATGTAAGGCTTGGATGCAGCTGCTCAGCCATGAAAACCTATTACGTGAAGCTCTCTACACACTGTTGTTGTGGCAATCTGAAGGCCACACGAAGTTTGGAGGTCTGTAGCTATTGACTCTGCAGGCAGTTGGCGACTTCTGCATACTGTGCACTTCAGCATGCGCTGACCCCGCTCTTTATTTTCGTGGCCTACCACTTCCTGGCTGAGTTGCTGTTGTTCCCAGTTGCTTTCACTTTGTTATAATACCACTAACAGATGACCGCGGAATATTTAGTAGCAAGGAAATTTCACTGAACACCTGAATCCAATGATTTGGAAGGGTGTCCCAATATTTTTGGTAATATAGCGTAGCTTAGAAGGGGGTCTCGGCAATTATTATTTGTGTTATTTTACCCCTCAGAGATAGGCTTTCACAGCTACCAGGAAGATTGAAAGTGATCGGTAATATATGAAAAAGCACACATAAGCTTTAGGAAGAACACCTTCCACCCACATGAGCAGCTCTGTCTCAAGTGGATTACATTGAATTTAGTGTGATACTAATCTCAGGAGTTAAGTCTTCAAAATGCATTCAATTGCCCTAACTATTAACAAAAACATATCTTATTTGTGTATCACTCAGCTGTAGACCCTCAAATCATCTCTGAATTGGTGCTGACACTGTCCTTCCTTCTGGAGGGTGACTACTTTTGTTCCCCATGGTCCCTGTGTGTGTTGTAAAGTAGCCGCAGCTCCAACCTCACTCCCGTAGACAGTGTCAGCACAAATCCAGACATGATTTGAGGATCTACAGCTGAGTGATACACAAATAAGATACATTTTTGTTAAAAGTTAGGGTACTTGAATGTATTTCTAAGGTTTGACACCTGAGTTTAGTGTCACTTCAAAGAAAACATGTACTGAGAGATATGCTCAGACTAAAATTGTGAACCTCATCTTGATAATGCCATCTGCCTGACCGTATCTTTAGTACTGGGAAACATTGACCTGAAACAAACCGTCATGCCAGGAAGTTAAAACTTGTAACCTGCATACAGTACTTCTGGGTTCTGGGTCAGTGACCTACAAAGTACAGAATCCACTGGATCAGAATGACAGCCAGGTAACTAGTACTTTCAAGAGAGATTAGAAATGTTGTCGGGAATCCACCCTGCTACCTAATTGACAGCTGGCTCTGCCCCCTCCCCTATCTGTCCCTCCCCAGTCAGCGCTGGAGGAACAGAGGGTAGGAGGGAATCCCTGCGGGGATCAGTGGCTAAGAGTCACCGCTCTCTGCAGGAAGAAGATCATGAACTGAACAATCAGCGGTTTGTGATCGCTCAGTTCTCAATCTATAGAGCCAACATGTGACAGCTGCAGTGTTACACGTCAGCTCTAACTATTGGGATGAGTGTATTTCACTCTCCCTATAATTCTCTTTTAAACTTCAGGAATTGGTTAAGGCTGGAAGCATACATTTAATGCTAGCTAATGATTGTTCTTCATTAATTGCTAGCAATTGCTACACATGCAATTGTGAATGTGGAAAATGTTGCTATCATTAGCTATTAATCACTACTTAAAACATTGGAGAGGGGCAGCAAGACCAAGTGGCCCATTCAATCTGCCCTTTTTTGTTTTGTGGGTGTTTGCCTCATTAAGTTTTTTTAATTACACTTTTATCAGATAGACCTATGTTTATCTCTAGCATGTTTACATTTAGGGGGTTATTCACTAGAGGGAGAAGAGTTTGGAGAATTGAACACTCTAGGGCAACATAACTGATTTGGAAACATTCTCCAGTTCAGTCTGCAGTATGTTGTCCTAGATTGTTCACTTCTCCTGCCTTCTCCAAACTCTTCACCCTTTAGTGAATAACCCTGTTTGTTACTGTTGATTTACTCACTAATTCTGATGGAAGTCTGTTCCAAACATCAACTACTCTTTTAGAATACTGTATAGCATTGGGGTTTCTTTCTGCTTGTTTCAGTTTTTGAGCTCAGCTTCATATTGAAGATCCTGTCCTCCTAACCATATTCCCACCGCAATTGTATTTAAAATTTTTCAAACATGTCCTTCCACCCCTTTCCTGGGAACTGTATGAACTAAATTGCTCCATTCTGTCCCCATAGGCATTAGCCTTTAGACCTTGGATTATTTTGGCTGCCCTACTCAGGACTTGCTCTATCTTTTTAATATCTTTGTAGTGATGGTCTCCAGAAAAAGAAAAAAAAATGTATATCACTTGAATAATTCCAATTACTTAGATGGGAAGGGAAGGTCTCATGGATGATGACCTTTCTAGTAAAAATCAATCTCACAAGCACTTATTCCAACAGTTGTGTAACTCACACAGAGCCAAATCTCATGCAGTTTTTCACTGTACATCTAATTTTCGGAAGGTTTAATTCCTACATGCATAATCTATAAATAGTTAAGCCTCTAACACAATACCAAACAAAAATGCCAAAGATGTTGTCAATAAGGCCTGACATGGACAACAGAGTGCAGTCAGATTTGGAGATCATTGCTAGGTTAAGTCCTGGCTAGCTGGGCTACAACCTGCACAACAGGATTGGAAGAGCATACAGAGGAGAAAAGCAGGCATCTCCAGTGCTGGTCAATTGTAGGGTAAAATACATCCATCGGCCAGGAGGTCTGGTACTTCTCACTGACATGAGATAACTACCCATTCTGCACATTAAGTCCATGGGTACCAGCTGTAATATATGTGCCAAATGTAGTAAGCTGTAGCAATCACATTTTAGGCATTGCAGGCATATTGATAAATGTACACTGGGTGACTAGAGCTGCTCATTGATCATAGAATAACCATGTATTTATACAGACCTACTTTCCCAACACCATTCAATTGATCCTTTTCTTCCAATCCAACACCCTGGTTTTCTCTTGATGCCAGGAGACCAAATGCAAGTTAGCTAAAGAGAAAGATTTCTTGCCCTTGCACAGAGTAAAGATCACATTTAAACTAGGATGTGAACTGCACCATATAGTGCAGGTAAAAGCAACCTTGGAACTCTGGCTGTGGTGAAACTATAAAGTGTGTGAGGCTCATAGTGTAAAGATGTCTGGCTCTCTTTAAAGGCCTGTCCACACCATCCAGTGCGTTCATCGCACAGTCTCGTGGGATAAACGCACAGGACTGCATAAACAAAGGCTCCCTGCAGTGCTATCGTCCGCACCTGAACGCATGGTATAGCAAGGACCCACGTTCCAGTGTGGTGCAATCACAAAAAAAGTGCATGCAATGGACTGTACGATGAACGCACTGGATGGTGCGAATGGACCCTCAAAATGCACAAACAAAAACTTACACTTATTATAAATGCGAGGAGGATGATTACAGACAAATGGAAAATTGAAGATAACTGGTCAGTCTACCCAAAATTGATTACAAAATTACAAGTAAATGCTAATTGGGTAAAACTCATTGATTTCTGAAATCTGTTGAGGATTCCATTGGTGCGACAGGCCTTGCCATAATCCCAGGCTCCATCACCTTTATGAAGCACTCACACTTGACTTTGCCACCAATTATCTATAATGTGTGATGGATAAACACACCATCAGAATGAAAACAGCCCTCTTGTAAGGAAGGGCTACAATGTAAACCTGCAGATCCAGGAGAGATCTCACCAACAGAGACCTTGAGAGGTATAAGAAATCAGTGGGTAAACCATCTAGCCAGAATCTACCCGATAATTAAATAGCAGTTTGGGTGGACTGGTCTTTGAGGTCTGTCTTTAATGACAGTTTAAATGTGACTGAGAACATAAAAACGTAATTAGTTGCTTATAATTATTGATAATATTGTCTATTTCCATGATTAAACAATGAATGAGCATTTTACATTAAAAAATGAACAAACATTTACATAAGACACAGTCTACAAAGCACAAGCAGCCCTCACAAACCCTATTAAACATTAAAGGACAAAAGAATGGTGTCCATGAAATGCTCAGACTGAAATGACCACAAGATCTAAAACACAAGTTGCATTACACACATAAATTCACTACAGGTCCTCCAAAAGCTGATATTTTGTAAACCAACAGGATGTCTTTCTTACCAGTTTATATTTCTTTACTGTATAGCCTACACAACAGAAAGACCTGAGTGGACCTCACTCTCTAGTTTTCCTTTATTTTATACTATAGAGGGTACAACAGGGGACGTAAAGAGCCCCCATTGGGGTTGGGGGGGCGTAGGGAGTGATGAAAATCCCTAAGAACTATAGGAGGTCAGTGGATGGTTTAGCCCAACAACATTCATCCTTTAGAGACAATTAGTGAATCTATTAATTCGTTCTTGCAACCCTAAGTCCATTATCCTGCCAATCCACTGGGTTCCCATTTTTGCAGCAACCTTTGCCTGTTCAATTACCCAGAAGAAGCTGGCTGCAAGGACAAAACTGAAGTCACTGATGGAAATATCCAGTTTAAGCCTACAGTCACTAAATGATATGGAAGCTGCTTTGAAAAACAGGCAGATCAACAGAGAAAGGTGGCCTTATTGAACCAAACAGAGAAGGAAATGGGGAACAGAAGTTTTTATTTATGGCGAGTAGTTTTTTGTTAAATTACAAATAGTATTTGGTATTTTTGCCACTTTTCTTTTTTATTAAAGTGGATTGACGTTTCTAACAATAAGATCTACTTTAATTTCAGATATTTCCCACTGTGTATACTTTTTTCTAAATTGGTCACTACCTATTGTCTGAAATTATCAGCCATTTCTGTCTGAGTAGGTGCTGTGATGACAAATAGCTCCTGCTCAATGTGTTTATAGCAATATAGAGCCAGTATCTTCTTAACTGGTAATCTCCCCAAATGTTTACATGCATGTCTGGTAACGGGGGTAACTTGTGTTTTAGGTTTAGTAGTCTTAACGATGGACTATAAAAATGAGTTCAACTTTAGAAAGAATTTTCAAATAAATAAAACCAACATTGTTTAAACAAAGCAAGACACATCTTTGGAAACGGAGGGCATTTGGTCATGATCCATTCTCGTCTACTCCTTTTCCAACACTTTCATCACTACCAACAGGTTTTAATGACTCCTCTGTCACAGAGGACTCCAACAGTCGCTCTTTTGTGTCCACACAGTTTTGGAGACCGGCACTGTCTAAGCTTCCATCAACAGAGTCTTGTGATTCATCTAAGCTTTCAGCAGATAAAACATCTGCTTCCAATTGGTCAGTGGGTACTGGGCTGGACAATGGAGGCTCAAAGCTTTCAAGAGGGGGTGCCACATCTGCAACACTGTGTCCTCCAACTGAACTTATAAGGTGGTTATCTTCCAGCTCAACTGCTGCCAGTTCTTCAGTTAGTTCAATTATCTCCTTCCCTCTCTTCTCCAGTTCTTCCTTCTCGGAGCACAATAGAGGGATTAAAGGATGAAGATACATGTTTTCATAAGAATTACCAAGCGGATCTTGGGAATTTTCCAGTGGTTGTGTGGTCTCATTGTTGGCTTGTGTGCTCAAATCACTACAGCGTTTGTGAATACTTTGTTGCCTGTGTGCTATAGAAACAAGATAATATAAATTCTAAGGGTGGCACCTAAGCAAGGAACTTGAGACAATAAAACAAGATGAATACATTAAATTTAATTATTTTATATATACACTATTTACCTATGACACACTCCAGTAATTTCTATTTATTGGTTCCAATCCCAATTTCCAGTATGAATTATATTAACTATGTAGCATCATCAATTGACTGCCTACTCTTCCTTCTCGCACAAAGCATATCTGTAATATTTTGGATGTGCAATATTTTGTAGGGCTAAGCTGTAGATTAAGCAGTTACAGTGAAGGATAGACATGCAAGGTAGTTGAAAGGTTTATCAAAGATAGGCATCATGTTAGAATTTTTTGTAATTTTAAACAGCAATAGGGAGATAAATATGTATTTGGGTCTCGCAATGCCTGCTCTACAGTAATCCTGTGATCTAATTAAGGTTTATTTTTTACCACATCAACACTAAGAAGTTAGGCTGTGGGTCAATTAGGTGGGATGTTCAACCGATATTTAGCATCTTAACTAAAATTATTTCACAATCCAACCTTTTTATCTCTCCAAGGTAAATCTACATAAATGAAGGGAGTGATACATAATGGTAGAGACAAAAATATGATCCCTTCAATATATTGCAAAATAACAGGCGCACTCCAAGGTGACAAGCATAATAAATAGCTCAGTACTCAAATTCAGGTTTCAGCCTTACCTTCATAAGTTAGAGGTTTATGGCAAGGCACGTCCGTAAACGTGATCATTGGTGACTTTGGACGCTGTGGGTTCGTTATTGGTGGATCTTGTAGTGAGATGGTGTCCCGTCCCCCTGCCAAAATGACAAACGCATCTTCAACACTGTCAGAAATGTACCCTTCTGATCACAACAATGTAGTTTTATGACTGTGCTTTAAAAAACATTCAGATTTGTTAGTTGCAGCCATTCTTGAACACTGCTGTCACCAAATAAAAAAACAACAACATTTTGCAGCTTCCATGCTCCACTGTTAAACACTGTTATTTTTAGGATTAGTTTAAAGCAGCATGCTATGATTTGACCTGTCTTCAGTCTAATTATCATAGCTCCATTTCCAGGAACAGACAATAATTGTGTACGGGAGATTTGAAATACAGAGACTGCCACTGCTGTGTAGGCTCTGGGGAGATTTACCTAAATTTAAGTCACTGAAATGGAGCAAACATGCCACCAGTGAAAAGTCCTAACTCCCATTCTGCATGCTTGCCCCAGGTCAGCTACTCCTCAGAATTTAAAGTGAGGATCAGGATGACAACTCTAGACCCTGCAGAAGAAGCTTCCATAATTCTATCCTCCCAGGTCCCCTTTAAAGCTCATGAACATAAGGCATGAGTCCTTTTATCTCTAGGAGAGATGTCTTTAACATTGCATATCAATGCTTCCCTTACTGGAAAACTCCAACGAACAACTGAAATTACAAGTAAATGAATAAAGTATGAAAGAAAGGTAGAGTGAAATAAAGGTCTCAGATGATTTCTAAATCAAAAGGTGCCCACAGCTATCAGATGAGCTAGGAGAAGCAGGAGCAATCTGATCACAGGAGCAATCATGATCCTAGATAGGTAGAGTGTGTGTGTGATTGTTTAGGGGGGCATCGCTGCCATCAGCTCAAGGGGGGGAAAAATGACGACTTTCTGTAAAATGAAAACTTGGATGGCAGATTATCAAAACATGCACATATAGATGTAAAAGGGTTCCCAAAGGAAACCTATAATTTGGACATAAGGAGGCTGCTACTGCAAACCTCAGAAATTACTAGCTCCCTGGCTCTCATGCCGATTCATTGCCTTTAGTACTTTCTATGTCACGGACTTGGGATGACCCTTCAGCTTCAATACTTTAAGCCACTAAACTTGGAGCAAGCATGCATTCATAACATCTAACCTTTATACTTCACAAGATTACTCATCCACAGAAAGGCCAGGTCACACCAACAGATGCTGAAACTCTCTCCGAGAAGCCGTCAATAGGAGAGGAGAGGGAGTAAGCCAGGAAGGTGGACACTGGGAGAACCAGAGGAAAAAACCACATACAAAGCCATTGCTAGTTAGCACCCCAAAATTGAATCCTTGGTGAAGTGAATACCTCCACTGACATGTTTTGGGGCTACCCTTCTTCATAGTGGGGGGCAGGTACTGATTGCTATAAATAAGCAGCAAAGGGCTGGAATAATGGTTCCAATACAAGCTCCATATCATCAGGGGGCCAGGGGGAGGTGAGCCTTGGAACAAGGCAAACACGCAGCTTGCACAATTCCACCCCCCCCCCCCTTTTGGTACCAACTCGATAACTAGCTTTGTATGTACAAATTAAATGTTCTTTTATGAACATTCTGTGCTCTCAGTTTTTGTTTTTTGCATATGGCCTTTTAGATACACACAGAGTATGCAAGGATATTCAGAGCTACCTAGGCACCAAGGAAGCGCAGTATATTGGAAGATTGTTTTATCAACTTTTGGAACAATAACAGATCTACTGGCAGGATCGACAGGTAAAAAAAAGAATAGAACTATGAAAGACTGCATCATCATATACTGTATGTCATTAGTTATTTTTCCCATAGCTCTAAATATATGGCATAAAAAAGGAAAAAAGGATTTGCGTTAACAGGACAAAATTTAGAGTTTTATAGTTTTTTAATCTAGACCTAAAAATCTTTTTGATGCAGCACAATGTTTAAATTGTGGCTGCTTTAATGGACAAACATTTAACACTTCCACTGAATACCTGCTCAAAGTATTGAAGAAATACTGCATATCTTAGAGAAATTATCTCAAATTAAAAACATCTGTACTAATAGAATGCCAAAATTGCCTAATCCAAGGATTGTTTGTTACCGAATAAAATGGTCGCAAGTTTTACTTTTTACGCAAGAGGGAAAACCCCACATTTTCCATTTCGTGCTTATGCTGGACATCTGAGCTGGTGCAACTATTCTCAGCCCCTCCAAACTATATTTTGGAAATTCCCGTAAATCGAGGGAGTTTCTAGGGGATCACAGTGCAGCAAAACCTCTTGGGTATTTCTTTTTCCTCATGATTCGCTTGTAGTCTTCCCCACTCATAGCAGAATTGCAGGCTATAAGACTGTCCTTTCTACTGCCTTAACTCAGTGCTGATAACAGATGCTTAAAAAACTGTCATGGAACAAAGGTGTTGACAGAATTACATGAAAGAACATTAAAGGCTTTGTTAACCGACAATTCTACCCTCCTCCTGCCGGCCAGAGAAAAGTCTCAATTCACAAAGCTTTAACACCAGCCTAAGGCAATCTATTTTCAGCCATGTGACTATAATTTTCAAATGTCATTGGGCTCAGATGAAAATAAGTATCTTTATACTGTTGGAGTAGCTTTGAGCCTAAAGAGTCATTTCTCAGGCT